AGGAGTTAGTTGGTCATTTTCATTTGTTGTAATATTAACATTTAAATTTTAATAACATTTACATTGAAAATCTACAGTCGAATCTCTGTCTTTGTAAAAAACATTTATTGTTATTTTGTTTGTTTTTTAACCCTGTAACTGAGGAGTGATAGTCGCAGGATTTGACCTGTTGATGAACATGAGGAGCACATGTTCCTTCAACAAATGACGCAGTGAAGATTTAAAAACAATCTCAGCTGCTGATGAGCTTTTTGCTGCATCACACATTCATGATCAGCAACTGAAACCTGAGAGCTTCTTAATCGCAGTGATAAAACTTATCCGTCCTGTTGTTATTTCATAGACACACACCAAATTCCTACCTGCTCTGTCACTGAACCAGCTAACCGGGTTCCTCGCAGCCGTGCATTTTGTGGAGTCCATCTCAAATGGACTCTCTAATGAAATCACGACCATCAACAAGAGGGTTGTCATGACGACGCCACAGCTGCAGCAGGCTCTTGTGGGCTCCCTCGTCTTTTCTGTGATCAGGACTCCCCGCGGGCGCAGGACCAGGAGATCCTACCTGTTATCTCTTTAATCATTTTCTTGTGTTTTTAACAGAGGATGTGATCTCGGAGACGAATCCAGACCTGCACACCCTGACTCGAATATGCACATGACAGAGCAGAGGCAATGGGTAAGGTCACATTTTAGCAGTTTTATTTAAAAAATAAATGTCAGCAAAGTGTTTGTTTGTATTTACTTAGTCTGAGGTAAAGTAAAGGGAGGAAGGTGACATTAAGTCAGCTGAAGGGCTGCTTTAGTTTTGCAGCTGCTGAAAATACATGCAGACAGTGAGAGGTCAAACACAAACCTGTTTAAACAATCAGAAATGCAAAGAAACTTTACAAACGGACTGTGCTACTACGGTCATTTTTCCACATATTAATGGAAGACTAAAAACCCTGAAATCAAGCAGGTTTCATCTTTATTTCTCGCCTGCCTCATTTGCATTTCAGTCTGTGGATCGTGCACATCAAAGAGCCTCAGGTCGATGTGAGGAGCAGCTGCAGAGCCACCGGAACGACAGAAGTTTCGCATGTATCAGCTGTAATGTGGCAGATACAGTAAACTGGTGTAAAACATTTTGAAATGCTCATGAAGGCACATTGTAAGAATGCTGCTCTCTGTAGAGGTTAATGGAGCTTGAAGTTCCAGGAAGAACTTTTGGGATTTTGATGAAAACCCCATAAGGTTCAAACATGAACATAAAACTTCATAAATCCACAATAGAGATTATTTTGTCAGATGAATGTTTCTTGCGCCTCAAAGAACAAACCATCTGAATGTTTGCTTCCCTCCAGATTGCTCCATCCTCCTGCTGGCCAGCGTGGTGTCCACTCTGGGCGGCCTGGTCTTCGGTTACGAGCTGGGCATCATCTCTGGCGCTTTGCTGCAGATCAAGACCGAGTTCAGCCTCTCATGTGTCCAGCAGGAGGCTCTGGTCAGCTCCTTGTTGACGGGAGCCTTGCTGGCCTCCATCATTGGCGGCTGCTTGATCGACCGTCACGGCCGCAGGAACTCCATCCTCCTCAGCAACGTCCTGGTCCTCGCCGGCAGCCTGGTCCTGCTCATCAGCTCGTACCCGGCGCTGGTGCTGGGCAGGATCACGGTGGGCTTTGCGATGTGCATATCCTCCATGTCCTGCTGCATCTTTGTGTCTGAGATGGTGACTCCTGACCGCAGGGGCTTCCTGGTAACACTGTACGAAGCAGGAATCACTGTGGGCATCCTGGCAGCTTATGCCATGAACTACGTCCTCTCTGGGTCCAAAACAGGCTGGAAGTGGATGTTTGGCTTGGCTGTGGTACCCACTTTGGTGCAGCTGGTCTCCATCTGGTTTCTTCCCTCCGGCGCTAAAGAAAGTTTCAGCCAAAGTGACTCTTCTCAAACTGAAAGAGACCTCATGAGGACGAATGAAACCCAGGAAGCAGATGACTCAAAGGTCACCTCCAACACAGAGAGCAAGAAGGTTCAGTACAACAGCTTGTATCTGTTCCAGCGACACGACAACATGAGGACTCGGACCGTCATCGGACTGGGATTGGTTCTGTTTCAGCAGTTCACGGGCCAACCCAACGTTCTCTTCTACGCCTCCACCATCTTCCACTCGGTGGGGTTCGAGAGCGACGCCTCGGCGGTGCTGGCGTCGGTGGGTTTGGGGCTGGTCAAAGTGATCGCCACTCTGACGTCGATGGTGTTTTTGGACCGGGTGGGAAGGAGGCCTCTGCTCATCTGCAGCTGCTCGGTCATGGCTGCGTGTCTGATCGCCATCGGGCTGCTCAGCGGGCGCTCGCTGATGAAAGCTCCGAGGCCTTGTGGTTCTCAGGACGTCTCTGTCAACAGAACACATCTACCTCATTCACCTGCTCTTAGTCCAGTAGTTTTGGAACCACTGCTCAATGCGAGTCACACACTTTTTAACAACAACACAGAAGATGAAGCGTTTGATGAAGCCAGACAGATTTCTCCAGAACCTTCTCCGAGCGTCCGCGGCTCTGTTGTGAACTGGATCATTCTCATGTGCATGATGGCGGTTGTCAGCGCGTACTCAGCTGGATTTGGACCAAGTTAGTATATTAACACAAAATTGTCTATTTTAGAGATGTCATGTCTGAACCGTTTTATTCTGACTGATTTTATTCATTTAGAGTCTTAATGTGTATTTTTGTGCTGCAAGCATGCAAATTATTTGACAACAACATTATTCAGCTTCACATTGTTAGAACTCTATTTACCTGTTTTCTTTGTGGACCAGTGACGTGGCTTCTCCTGAGCGAGATCTTTCCGGCTGCCGTCAGAGGGAGGGCGTTTGCCTTCACCAACTGCTTCAACTGGGCCGCCAACCTGCTGGTGACGTTCACCTTCTTGAACGTTATTGGTGAGTTGCAGCGAGAGTCTCGATGGCACAACAGCTGAGACGCTCAGTTACTCAAACAATCAGGAAACCTTGAACACTTGTGGAACCAGGACGCACAAAGAGAATGATTCCAAAATGTATTGTATGTGTTCACAAAGCAGCTGAATACGTTGGTGGTTTTCATGATATAAGAACACATATTAGGTACTGATCAAGAGTTTGAATGAATCTGTATTATTATATTAACAGAACAGCAACAAGCTGAGTCTTGGACCAGTTATTGTTC